TGCTTAAAAAATATAAAACTGGATCTTAAATTCTTTCTAAACTTATACAGAAAAATGGCAATCTAGTTATGTGGTATTTGGGACAAAAGAACTAATAATCACCCAGAATTCTATACAGAAATCACAACTTCAGAGAAAAGAAAAAAAATAAATCTGTAAATCACAGACTTCCATAATGAAATCCTCAAGTATTTACAAAGTTAGTTCACGTTAACATAACACTGATATAAATAATTCTTCATGAATAAATTCCTCAAAACATCTACCATAGAGTTGAAGTAAAACATTTATGTAATTAATTTAGCAAAACTCAACAAAAATTACAACTCAATTAGCTGATCTTTGTGTATAATAGTTACCTACAAATAAGAGTAAATGGAAATTGTTACAAATGTGAAAACCAGTAAGAAGTACTCTCTTATATATCTTAGTTCTACCCTAATGCACTTGCTGTACACTGATCATCAAGAATTAATGCCAAGTTATAAAATTCCTTTATATATTCATAAGATACTCCATACCACTGAAAGAGGTGAATAGCCTCATGATAATTATTCTCAAAAACACAAATTCTCTTTAGAGATTTGGTAATTTCTCTTTAGAAATACAGGTTAAAATATGAAGAAATTACCAAAGAAGGATAGTACTAATTTTCAAGTTATATTTTGAAATTTGAACACATCTATTATAAAGAAAAATATTTACTATTATCATTCTAATGAACAATCAATCATTATTTAAAGTTCTGTACCTGTAACCATTTCATTTTGTAAAGCAAAGTTAATCTTCTATTTTGTTTCAGTAATATGAAAACACATTATTATGTAAAGCAATTCATTAAAACAAAACTTAAACCATAATTTCCCGTTTCAGTGTATGATGACATTATGCATATAAAAAGGCAGGAAGAGAAATTTTGTTGGAATATGTTAAAATGCAAAACAAGAAAAAAGCTATATACTAACAGGCAACATTCTGCTGCCCTTTTCACTGTGCTTTAATAGGCAGATTAAAGGCTTTGTCTATACTGCTAAGCAGTTAATATCTCACATCAACTTAAAACTGTATCCACATCTCTGGGGCCAAGAGCACACTCATGCAATTGTTGCTGTAAAAGAGGCTCCTGAATTTCTAAAACCTTTATATTTTTATAAAATACAAGAGGGTAGAGCTTGGAACAAAATTCATCTTTTTAAATACCTTGGCATAAATTTCATTATCTAACTTTTGATTAAGTTGCTGAAATTTAAGATAAATACATTAAAAGATGTATGTATGAAGGAAATGCTTTTCCATTTAAAAATACAGAAAATTCTCCTAATGTGTTCCTCTGGGCCTCAGAGTACCTTTTCCTAAGGGCCCTGCCAATCACTACCTGAAAAATAGTAATATAAAAATATGGAAAAAGATAAATAATTTTCTAAATAAATAAAATCTCTCTCTAATCTGAACTTTAAGGTGAGTAACTGGTTTATGCTCAATTAATAGTGACATGTTAATCCTATTATTCTTCTGACTAGTGAGAAAATTAAAAGATAATCCAATTTTAGAAACAAAAATCTTCTAGTAGGAGTCCTTATAATCATTTAATAAAACATTTACTGAGGACCAGCTCAATGCAAGTTGTAGAGATGAAAATAGCTTCAAAGAAACTCCCACATGTCTAAGGACTTGACTAAAATGGGATATATGTAACATTAAAGAATCATTATACTAAAAAATGCATAGATACCTAAATGGACTAACCACATGTTAATAAATATGTAAAAGGAAGTAGGGGGCACTTCCAATGTAATTAAGAAGTAACACATCTCAGCAGGATGGCAAAATCAGGTGAGATATGAAGGATAGGTACAATTTGATAGATACAGAGGACATTCCAGGAATGGAAGCAGCAAAAAAAAGTTTAGGAAACACACAACAGTACAAATAGGCTAACACTTTCTCTGCAAAGTACTAGAGTTAACAGGTTGAAAAGTAAAATCACAATGGTCAGGAAATGGGAGAGGTACTTGGGATTGTAAACTGTAACTCAGGTCCATACATATTATAGTAAGTTACGTTTTAGGAATATTCACCCGGTAGCCTAAAATATTCAGCTATGAAGTCTACTGCCTCACATGTAGTCAGTAAACAATAGGTCACATCCATTCTCAGTTACTGTTACTGGCACAAACTTTAGGAGCTTATTACTCCAGTAAACTACATGTAAGGAGATTAGATGGTTTAGAAAAGCAATAGATAATAGAGATTACAGTAAGAAAAATATGTCACTTTCGTGTAAGGATTATTTTGGGCTGAAGGCAGTTGAAAAGAAGATACAAGAAAAGCTCTCTGGCCTCCCCAATCTGCCTAAAGGCAGCACATGTTTTGGAAGGTGTCCCTCCTCACCCTTTACCAGGAATGACAAAGGTAAATTCCTACAAACAACTTTAGACCCTTATCAAAAAATGTGTGGAGGGGGGCAACTGTGACTTAATTTTGCATAATAAATCTTACTTTTAATTACCTTGCTTTTCCTGGTCACCTCCATGTAAGTGGCCTCCCTTGCACACATTTTTTTCTATCTTTAGCTGAAGATGGTATTTGAGCTTGAACTCTAAGTCACCTCTGAGTGTTACTGATTTTTCCCTGAGTATCTCCCATGTATACAGGAAGTATACATGTTAGTAAGTTTTTCTCTTATACTTCTGTATTTTGTTATAGGGGTCCTAGCCAAAAACTCAGAAGAGTAGAGAAAAACTGTTTTTTCTTCCCCTATACAAGTTAACACATTTCATAAGAATGTTGGTTAATTTTCCATATACTTTAACAAACCAAACAATAAGAAGCAATGCTTAATGCTTTTCAACTTAAGGAATATTCTCTTAAAAGAATATTAAAAGACAGTAATGAAAAATTTATAAGATTTCCTAAATTTACACTTTGAAGTAGCAGGAACGTAATAGTGATCCAATCTTTCATTAGGACTTTCTCTATGTAATAGGAACATATCAGTGACAAAAACTGATAAGACCTGACAGCAGGGCTTTTTATGTCTTACTGATGTCATGATAAAAGGCAGACAAATAAAAATACAAAATAAGTAGATTTGAAAGCATGTTAGAAGATGATTAAGTGCTACGAAGGCAAAATAAAACAGGAAAGGGACAGAGTGTGGGTATTGGGGAGGAGGAGAGGAAAGGACACCACTTTCTAGCCGGGCTGTTGGAAAGACTTGCTTGATAATTATTTCCAGTTACTTTTCTTTAAAATAATTCAATTTGAATATTTAAACATTCAATAACCCCTCTAAGTAGTGAAAGACTTCAAAAATATACATTCGTGGCAAAACCCATGTCTAAATGACTATGGCAGCTAATCATCCAAACAGTCTAACTCTGACTCCGTATCATTGCCATCTTCAGGAGAAATCTGAGACCAAACCGATCATTATCTAACTCTGGCAATTAGCCAAGTAGTCTAATAGTCTAAAAAACCTAGTCTTAAAACCTGATTGGGCAGTCAGAGAACGGGCAATGAATAAAGTGAGATATTTCCCAATGTACAGAGTTCCACGAAGAAGTTCAAAGAAATTCACAATGTAGGAAGAAGAAATAATAACTTGTTGGCTTTAATATTAAAGGTATTTGAAGCACCATAAGCAATGAAGAATAAATCTCAAACTTATGTTGTAATCTATATTTATAGAGTTCCAAAGAATTTATAACATTTTGCCATATGAAAATTTCATTCGGAATTACAATTTCAAGAATCGAGAATTTATTTACAAAAAAACAAATTAAGAATTTAATATTCTAGGTGACTGTGGTAAGACCTTATCTTTTAGGGATATCTACTAAAGTATTTCTGTATGAAATGAAATGATATTGAGCACTTATTTCAGAAGAATCTGACGGAAGGTAAAGAGAACTGAATGGAGGAAGAGATGGAACAAGTATTAGTTATGAGCTAGTAATTGTTTGGTAACAGGTACATGAGGGGTGTCATTACATTATTCTCTCAAAATCTGTATGTATTCCAAATGAAAAAGTTACAGAAAAAAGTCACATTTTTAAACAGTTAATCTTTACCAACCTAATAAATATTAAGCCTCAAAGACAGTTGATCTATTACAATAATATCCCATTCACCAAAAACAAAAAACCTAAAAAAGTAAAGCAACAAAATAAATAAATTCAGTAGCAGTTACTAATGTGAACTTTGCTACTGATTTAACTGCATGTCAATTTCCCTTTCAATTTTGTAACAAACACTTCTTAGCATTCTAATATGACTGCCAGGGTTCTTAATGATGTTTTAATTAATCTCTTCTTAACTAAATTTACCATTTATGGGACACCACCTACAAACTGTTCCTATTTCCTCTTTTGGCATTACATATTATTGCCATAGCAATATGTAAAGGTGAAAAACTAGGTTATGAATGTCTATTTGATGTGGTAGGTACACAAATTTTCTTAAACAGTAAAGCAGTCCTCACCTTAAAATATATATATATACATATATATGCATGTGTATATGCATATAGTAGAGGTTGTATCAGAAGAGAAAGAACAAAACTTTAGATTTACAGACAAAATCCTTTCTCACTAAATACTGCACATGATTTCTGATTCCTATATAAACAGGATGAAAGGGGTACCTGACTGGCCTAGTCAGAAAAGCATGTGACTCTCCTTCTCAGAGTCCTTAGTTCGGACCCCACATTGTGTGTGAATATTATTTAAAAATAAACAGGATTGGGGCACCTGGGTGGCTCAGTCGTTAAGCAGCTGCCTTCGGCTCAGGTCATGATCCCAGGGTCCTGGGATCGAGCCCCGCACAGGGCTCTCTGCTCGGCGGGAAGCCTGCTTCTCCCTCTCCCCCTCCCCATGCTTGTGTTCCCTCTCTCGCTGTGTCTCTCTCTGTCAAATAAATAAAATCTTTAAAAAAAATAAAAATAAAAAAAATAAACAGGATTAAAGTTTAAAATATGGGTGCTTAGAACATGCACTTACCACTTGTCCATTGTGTGGGTTCTTATGAGCATATGGAGGTCCACGGATATGATTCCACATCTGGCCAGAAGTCATAGCAAAGACTATACACTGAAAAACAGGGTGTAATGTTATAATATGTATATCAAGGAATATCAATACTGCATTTTTTAAAAAATAATGGTCACATAATTAAATTTAAAAAATCATGTATCACTTCACCCATTAGAATAATTTTCACTAACTAACTATGGGACTTTGGGAATTCATCCCAAATGAAAGAACAAGATAAAGCCATAGCCAGAGATATAAGTGAAACAGATATAATAGGCCTGATGGAAAATTTAAAGCAATAATCATAAGGATACTCACTGGGCTTGAGAAAAGAATAGAAGACATCAGGGAGACCCTTACCACAGAGATTAAAGAGTTAAAAAAGAATCCATCAGAGATGAAGAATACAATGAACAGCAGGCTAGAAGCAGCAGAGGAACACAAATTAGTGACCCAGAAGATAACAGAAAATGATGAAGCTGAACAAAAGAGAGAAAGAATTATGGAACATGAGAATAGACTCAGGGAACTCAGTAACATTCATATTATAGGAGTCCCAGAAGAAGGACAGAGAGAGAAAAGAGAGTAGAATATTTATTTTAAAAAATAATAGAATACTTCCCTTATCTGGAGAAGGAAACAGATCCAGATCCAGAAGGCAGAGAGGACTCCCAATCAAAATCAACAAATGCAGGGCAACACCAAGACATATACTGATAAAGAACAAATCTTAAAAGCAGCAAGATAAAAGAAGTCCTTAACTGATAAGGGAAGACCAAAAAGGCTAGCTGGAGATTTCGCAACAGAAACTTTACAGGCCAGAAGAGAGTGGCATCATATATTCAACGTGCTGAATGGGAAAAATCCACAGCCAAGAATACTCTATCCAGCAAGACTATCATTCAGAATAGAAGGAGAGATAAGGCATTTCCCAAACAAAAACTAAAAGAGTTCATGACCATTAAATCAGCCCTGCAAGTAATACAAATGGGGATTCTTTGACTGGAAAGACCAAAAGTGACAAAGACAAAGGATCAGAGAAATCTCCAGAAATGACCAAAAAAAATTAACATAGTACTAAATATATATCTATCCTTAATTTGAATGTAAATGGACTAAAAATCCAAGACCCATCTATCTATATGCTGCATACAAGAGACCCATTTTAGACCTAGACACCTGCAGACTGAAAGTAAGGGGATGGAGAAACATTTACCATACAAATGGATGTTAAAGTTAGAGTAGCAATACTTATCTCAGACAAACTATATACTTTACAACAATGACTCTTACAGGAAGACTAAGAAAGGCACTATATCATAATAAAGGGGACAATCCAACAAGAAGATATAGTAATTGTAAGTATTTATGTCCCCAACCTGGTAGCAACCAAATATATAAAAAAAATAACAAACATAAAAGAACTAATTGATAATAGAATAATAAGGGACTTTAACATTCCACTTACATCAATTGACAGATCATCTAAGCAAAAAATACATAAGCAAACAATGGCTTTGAATGATATACTGGACCAGATGGACTTAACAGATATATTCAGAACATTCCATCCCAAAACAGCAGACTATACATTCTTATCAAGTGCCCGTGGGACATTCTCCAGAGTAGATCACATAATAGGTCACACATCAGGTCTCCACAAATACAAAAAGACTGAGATCATACCATGCACCCTTTCTGACCAAATGCTATGAAACTAGAAGTCAACCGCAAGAATAAATTTGGAAAGACCACAAATAGATGGAGGCTACTAAACAATGAATGGGTCAATCAGGAAATCAAAGAAGAAATTTAAAAAAATACATGGAAAAAATGAAAACACAAGAGTCCAAAATCTTTGGGATGCAACAAAAGCCATCCTCAGAGAAAGTATATAGCAACACGGGCCTACCTCAAGAAATAAGAAAAATCTCAACCTAAACTTACACCCTTTAGGGCTAGAAAAAGAACAACAAAAGAAGCCTAAAGCCAGCAGAAGGAAGGAAATAATAAAGATTAGAGCAGAAATAAATGATATAGAAACTAAAAAAATCCAAACCCAAGAAAACAGATCAATGAAACTAGGAGCTGGTTCTTTGGAAAAAAAAAAAAAAAAATCAATAAAATTGATAAACCTCCAGCCAAGCTTACCAAAAAGAAAAAGGACCCAAATAAATAAAATCACAAATGAAAGAGGAGAAATAATAACCAACACCACCGAAATACATACAATTACAAGAGAATATTATGAGTAATTATATGCCAACAAATTACGCAATTTGGAAGAAACGGATGCATTCCTAGAAAAATAAACTACCAAAACTGAAATAGGAAGAAATAGAAAACTTGAACAGACGAATAATCTGCAAAGAAACTAAATTAGGAATCCAAAAACTCCCAACAAACAAAAGTCCAGGACCACATGGCTTCACAAGTGAATTCTATCTAACGTTTCAAGGAGAGTTAATACCCATTCTTCTCAAACTACTCCAAAAAATAGAAAAGAAAGGAAAACTTCCCAAGTCATTCTATGAGGCCAGCATTACCCTGATACCAAAACCAGATAAGACTATACTAAAAAAGAGGGTGGCTGCACCCAGGTGGCTCAGTTGGTTAAGCATCTGACTCTTGATTTCAGCTCAGGTCATGATCTCAGGGTTGTGAGATCACTCTCTCTCCCGTGTTGGGCTCTGCAATCAACGCAGTCTGCTTGAGATTCTCTCTTTCTCTCCCTCCTTCTCCCTCGGCCCCTCCCTGTTAGCTCTCTCTCTCTCAAATAAATAAAAAAAATAATAAAATCTTTTTAAGGGGGGAGAGGTGATGGGCAGAGGAAGAGGGAGAGAATCTTAAGCAGTCTCGAGCTCACAACCCCAAGATCATGACCTGAGCTGAAACCAAGAGTCAGATGGATACCCAACTGAGACACCCAGGTGCCCCCTATTATATACTTACTCTTAAAATAAGCTAAAGAAAATAGTATGAACTTCATGAAGAAGAGAAAAATACCTTACCAGTACTGTACCGTATTTACTGAAAATAATCTGATATACGGACCCACACAATTCAAACCTGATTTGTTCAAGGGTCAACTGTACTCAGTTTATAGGAAAGACTAAATATCCTGTTTTATATAATCCTCTCTACAGTCATCTTTGAATATTCTTTGAATTATTGGGCTACTGTCTGTTCTCATTACACAAAATTAGGAACTAAATTTATTAAGAAAAGTATACCCTAAAAATAATTAAATTTTTCATTATATTCTTGCCATAATCCTAACACAAAAATATACATGAGGCTATATATATAAACTACCAATTTGCAAACAGACCTACCCATCTTCAAATGACTCAAACTTAAAAACAACAGTTGCTTTACTGAAAAAAATATTAGCAGCACTTACCTAAGCTTCTCACTTGTAAAGAGAACAAAATAAAAAACCACAGAGATAGTACCTGCATAAATTACATAATTTAGTTCAAATAAATTTGTAAAGGTGCTCATTCTGAAGTCAGAGCCGCCTTGCAGTTTTGTGTGGTCACAAGAAATACATTTTGACTGATACAACACAATACGTAGACACCAAAGAATCCTTCAGGAATGTGCAAATTGTGTAATCGTTTGTATTAATTTCAAGCTTAGGTTTGTCACAAAACTTACCCAATTAAACTGATACAATTTCTTTCAGACAGAAGACACATTAAGATATGTGAATCATCTTACAATATAGACCATCAATGTTAAAAGGCAGAAAACAGCTTCTGTCCTACTAAGATTTACTGTGATAATAAAGTTTGGGTTATTAGATTTTTAAAGTGATGTTTATCTTTCATGTTTTTAATTGCAAATTCTTAGGATGTTTTTCTTTGCGTGTGAAATGAATATAACTATTTATCACACTTATATTTCTGCTTTGAAATGATAGCCATCTATGAGGAGCTTTAGGTTGCCATGAAGATCTGTGCTAAGGGCTATGGAACATAACATTTTAACTCATTTTGATATTCCAAGTCAACGTTTATTTCTGAAAACCATAAACTATATATTCATATTATACCCCTTGAAGTTATGTACCAGTGTAGTTCAATATTTTACCCAACCATTCTACTTTAAACTCATCATAAAACAGGTAACGTGTAAGTTTATTGTTTATCATCCTTCTTCTTCAGGGAGGAAGGGAAAATGGAGTAAAACCAGAATCAATGCTTATTCAGCTCTATAAACAATTATCATCACTTATAAACAGGAGTTCATAATATTTTTTTTCAAGACCAGGAGGAACCTATGAATATTCCTTTACCTAATTTTTTTAAAACTCAGAATCAGGAAGCTCTAATATTACCTTTTTAAATATTTGCATATCTTTCTCTATATAAGGAAATTGCAAACTTTCTCTCTATCCTACACCCTAAAGCACTATGAACAGCTTCCTCTTGCCAGGAAATACTGCATTCTCAGCCTACCTGTGAGTCATATACAATAATATGAATAATGAAAAAGACAAAAAAAAAAAAAAAAAAAACCACCCAGTAATAGAATACAGTCTATAGAACTAAGGATGTGTAACACTCAGTAATCCCCTGGGAGATACTTTTGCATAGGTTCAATATACAATTGCTAATTGTATACAGACTTGTTCTTTACCAAGAAATGGGTATGTGGATAGAGCTTCTTTTACAAACTTTTTCTCATTATTCTCATTTTGCATACAATGTTTGAGATTACAGAAGTGGTCCGCTCTAATTCATTATTTTCATTTTAGAAGTTTTCCTTTTCTGTGCAATCCAAGGCTTTCATCAGAGTTTCCACAAATCAGATAATAGTTTGCCAAAAATTACTAAAAAACATTCTCTTTCCCAAAGGAAAATGGAATATTGGTTATTTCACACAGACAAATGTTTGAGAATCTGAATAAATGGGTTAGCATTTTGGGTAGCCTCTTAACTCTGTAAGGATATCTTAAGAATTGGATAAGACTAGAAATGAACAAATCCATTTTTTCACTTAAACCTAGCCTTTTTAAAAAATAAATAGAGTCAGGTTTGGTGGTGGTAGTG